TGTCAAGCAGATTATGTCCACTTCTTATGTCAACTTTGCACACATCGCTTTAAACTCAATCCGAGATACAAGATCCTGGCCTGTCGTGCCAGTCCCTCGTACTTGAAGTCCCCCAAGCTAAAGAACAAAAGTTGAACCCTTTCCCCCACACCACGGTCGGTGAGCATTTCGCTCCTTAGGTAATGAGCAAGGTTTCAGATTGCTGCATGCAAAGTAATGACTCCACAGTGCTTGACCAATTCCAACATGTTATGCTACTCATGTGGGAAAATTCAGTCAATACTCTACTACACCTGAACAACTAACTGGTGCTGACAAGAAACATCACTGGGTCCCGATTTTGACGATCGGCAGCAGCACCATAGGCCAGAGCAGCGCCAGAACTGGAAGAAGCCATGGCACCACTAGGCTCAACAGTCTTTGGTTTGGCCTCTGGTCTGGCCTGAGGCAAAGTGACTTGCAAAGAAGTTCCAAGCATTCAACCAAAACTGCCTAAGACAATGATGGCAAAAACCATTCCGCAATAAATTCTCAGCTTTCTGATCGAAAACCAAGGTGTCACAGATAGACAAAACCACAATTCAATCAGTCACATTGACCAAGCCACTTTTTTCGCTGGACCACCTGAACGATCTGCAGCACTGGCCTTCTCCACAGAAAACAAAGGGACCCATCGAGGAATCCTGGACAGTCCAACATGATGAGTCTTAAACACTAAACATGGATCAATTGATGGATGGACAAACAAACCTGAAGTGAAGTGAACGATTGAACAACTTGATTGCCACTAGGTCAACTAATAAAGAGGTTAAAAAATTATCTGATGTGATCTGTCTGTTTTTGGTTTTTGTTTCATAGATACCTTTAGCTACATAGAATCTGGGCCAAGTGTCTCATCAGGAGACAATGTGGCCATCCACCTCGCCACAGTCTGATTCAGAAGATCCCTCCATTGGCCAATGCCATAGCCATGATTCCAGCTGATTTGCTCAACAAGGTCAATCCTTGCCCGGGCCAAGATGCAGTTCCCACTATTCTGAGTTGAATTGGACTTCAAACTTTCAACACGCAATGACAGTCTGCAGTGGACCAAAGTCGAATTTTCATCAAGGCTCCATCGGTGTTCCCCACAAACAAACTGCCAGATGGCATTGGCATCAGCCCAGTGATCATAACTGATCGCTTCGATCGAGACAAGGGTTTCAACACCAGCAGCCTTGGCCCATTTCCAAGCATTGACAATTTGAATCGATTTCAATTCAATGGCCCATCAAACAATTGACAATGGTTCATAGTTTTCTTTTGACTCTAGATAGATTTGTTGGCTGAAATCTTTGTCAACTGTCAGTTGTCAACATCACCTGAGCCTACCTATCTGAGCTTTGAATGAGCAGCAGATCTCATGAAACCAAGAAACTGTTAAAACAGCAGTGAGAAGCACTCCACATGCAGTAGCACGATGCCAGCCTTTGGAGCAATTGAACCTAAGCCGCTCAGCTGACTTAGCAACGCAAGCCGAGAAACAAGTGAAATGCAGCTGAAACCAATCAGACATGAAATGTCCAAGATCGCACCACGACAACTGACAAAGTCATACATCCGACAAACAGCTGATGTTGTAAGCACAATCAGTCACTGGACCATGCCTTGCAATAAAAGGGTTCATCTATTTTGCCAAGGGTCTTAATGATGGTTCCTGGTGTGGAAATGATGGTATGCCAAGTCTCCGCAAAGTCCTTGTGGTTGAAAACCTGGGATCCAGTCAATCATGTCAGTCAGTTGGTTGTGCGAATCAAATACTTTTGGTGTACAAACCGTGTGGCAAGCTTGCAACCAAGACTAAGACAAGAGACCTCAGTCTGGGTGCTGCCAACCATGCCTGAGTTGTGCTTATTGTAGTCACCCTGGGGCTTGGATCTGTTCCTTGGTTGGGCTGGGAAAGAAATCCTCAACTTCAGGCATGACAGTCGTATGTCAGTTGTATGCTAAACATTGTCAGCTGAATGTCGGTTGTATGTCACAAAACTATTCCAATTCAGTTTTGAGTTGGTCGGATGAATGTTCAATATGACCCAGCCATCAAACCACTTTACAAGACAAGTTTGTTTATTCACAATGTTCAACTGTCATTTCCTGTTTGCCTTCAATACAAAGTGAAAAAGGCAAGACTCGCCGATGCAAGCATATCCAGCAAGTCGTGATGTACAACTTGAATGCTTTTCCAGGTGCTGAACCGCCCAGTTCGCAGGGGCTGGGCGACAATCCCAACACGACTGGGCCACTTGACGTAGCCACCACCAGGTCCTGGTAGGTACCCGATTTCATTTTGTGCCTCGGATAAATGTTGTTTTTGATTTGGAATAACTTGTGATCTGAACTTCACAGCCATGGCCTGAACATAATGAAATTGCTTCTGAGTGAAGTAGAGTTGTGAAAAAGGCTTCACACTACAACTGACAGAAACAAAGAAACGATTCTCATTCATTCAAGCATTTTTCCTAAGCAAGCAGTATTTGATCAAACATTTTCAGAAACATTGAGCACAGCTATAACAACAGGCCAAGTACTCTTGCCAACTTTCCAGCTCGGCTGACGTCCATGGTGTTCTGAGTCATCTGGGAATCCTAAGGCCACGTTGATCCTCAGGCATCGACATCTCAAACTTATCATATCAAGAAGGAGGCACCTTCTCAAAAGAAAACCTTGGCCCATTGATGTCTTGAGTTTGGAACATTTATTCTTAAACTAAAAAAAGGGCTTTCCAAATGAGCGATCATTCAGCTGACTCAATGGTGGAGCATCAGCTGATTGATTGGGCCAAGGGACTTGTTGATCCTCTTCTTGCACGCTTTGAGCACCCAGCCAGTTTTGTTGTCGAACTTTGAGTCGTCCTGGCTCAGAACAAAAGACCTGGGCCACTGGGAGCAAAACTTCACTCACTCTTGGAAATTAACAAGACACATGGCATGGAATCAAGACTTAAACTGACACGAGCAACTTTCTCCAAGTTTCACTTCTAATCTAACAATTAAGTCAAGCGCAACAAGACATCAACTAACAATAAAGTCTAGTGGCCACAGCTCTTCGGCCTGCTTTTCGTCAAGAAGCCAAAGGATGTATAGCGCCTGATTGAATCCAATGAATCAGCAGCAACTAAGCTGACTATAGTTCTTGATGAAGTGAGAGACTGAATGAATACTGTAACAAAACCTTGGCTGCAACTGACAAGCTAATGGAATTTGAAGGAGTATTCACTAGTTTCTCGAAAGGATACCAAAAACAAAGCCCAAGTAAACTTTCACATGAATGATGTTGCAGGGTTTCTGTCAACTTCGGAACGCAGCAATCATATTTTGTCCAAGTCACCTGCTGAGCTTTCCTGAGAGTGTTTAAATGCTTCACATTGACTGACATTACAAACTTTGTTTGTGTTAAACATTTCCCAGCCACACCACACATCCAAAGCAGTCCGGCAAGTGAAGCTCTACCCGATAGTCAAGTGTCTTCTCAAGGGTCTCGAGGCCAGTCCAGCCGAGAACAGCAACAGCATACGATTGATCCGAGGCCATCAGGCAGTGGGTGCAAACCAGCTGCTGCTGTTGCAAATGAAGTGGTGCAAGATGTGTAATGTAACAGGCAGCAAATGAATTCAAGTAGCAGTATCATCTCGAAACATGCCAGGTCAAATTCAGAAAAGAACACACATTCTGATGGACTTGGTGTTTGGATTTCAATCTGCCTCGCCAATGACTTGACTGATTACAGCTTGATGCTGAATGTTTGTCACTACTGACTGATTGCCAGTGTCCCATCAGTGTCCCCACCCTTTGTCAGCCGGATGACTTGAACCAATCATCATCGGAAATCGAAACAACAATTTGTCAGCTGGAATGACAGTTGACAGACATAACAAATCAAATGAGATTTAAAAGACTCTCCAACTCTACTTTGCGAATTCCAGTTAAGTCACTGTTAAAAATCTCCAGGCCCCACCCTGCCTGGAAAAAGGGCCATTTTATGCAGGCCAAGTTGAAGAACTTTGGCCTGAGAGCAAATCACAACGAACAACTGGTAGCAAGCAAGTCATAACAAGCAAAAACGTCACTAACAACTAACTACCACTGACCAAGACAGCATCACATTACTTACCAACAGTTAAATTTTGAAACCACACAGATGAAAGACAATGTCAAGTGTTCGTGTGAAACTGGTCTGCACTGTGCCAGGCTGAGGGGCTGACCCATTTGGGCTGACAAATGTTGTCAAACATTTGCCATTGATACAGCTGACAAACTTGACAAAGTAAGTAGTTCTCACAAATGGCAACGAATGTAGTACAACTGACTAGTACAACTGACATGCATCATCTCTGACGAATGAAACCTCAAGAAAAACAGAGGGTATAAGTCAGAAAATCTCATTTCACAACCCATTCAATTCCAAATCGTTTTTAAGAAACTGAGATTGAAGCAAACCTGGGTGAGGTAAACCTGGGGCTACACTGGCCTGACAGGAGATGGACCAATTGACTTGAAAAGCAATCTCCATTTCCCGACATTGTCAAAATTGTTCATCATGTCTGAATTCTGGAGCTGACAGGGTGTGATCCTGTTTGATGATGACTAAAGGACAGCTGACTGACAATTGTTTCGTCATTGACCTGAATACTTTGAGGGTCACCTCTCCGTTTGAATCTGAATTCAATGCACTGGCCACTGCCTGCGATGCCTTATCCTTGGCACAAGAAGCATTTGATTTGGCAAATATTTTAGAACAATACCAACTGTGAGAGTGAGTCGGTATCCACTAACTTGACTGCCAGCACTGCTTGTTTTTTTGTCCCAGCCAGCACCCCCAGATTCTCGAAACTCTAAACAGGCATGTGCCGATGTAACACAAGCTTTTTGGACAAAACACATATGTCCAACAAATCCAACAAATCTGCGAATAGTGAATTAGCTACGAAGTTCAACCATCAAAAGTCTGTCAAGTCAGGGGCCCTACTGCTGAGATCGGGCCACATTCTTCTCGTCCTTCTCCTCCTCATCCTCTGTGCCACCTTCAAGTAAAAGTGCTCGCATTCGGCCAATCCTGGAACTAATATCTTGTCCAGGTTCTGCGAAGCGGTCTGGAAACATTAACTGCTCTGACACCCAGCCATTGATCTTGTCCCACATGATGAGTTCAAGGACTGGATCCATCACAGGTGGAGGGTCCTGGGAGTCCTGGAACACAGGCTGAGCAATGTCACCATCACGCTTTGGTGACCGGCTCCGGTCTCTGCCAGCATCCGCCGGCAAAGAGGCACTCACACGAGAAGAAGCCATGTGTGAGAAACAGAGAGGTAAACGACAGACAGCTTACTTTTGAGGCAAGTCGGAGAGGCAAAAGTGAGATGCACAAGATGCACAAGACAACTGACAATACAGCTGACACCAACTGACAACTGTTTGAAACTTCATGCAAATTCTAATGCACAATCAAGCTTATTGGGGTCTTGATTGATACTGATGATGACTTTCTTCAGTCTTGCATTGTCTGCACCCTCTCTGAGCTAAGCATTCAACACCAGGAATCCAACGGGGTAGGCACCTGCAAAGCACATGCAGTATTTAGCACCAATAAACCAAGCGCAAAAACAATTCAGACTACCACAATTTTACTGATTGTCTTCAAGAATGTCAACCCCCGACACATCAAACTAACAAATCAAGCTGGAGTCAGTCGGTGGAAAAACTCGAGCCATCAGTGGACCTTCTCTTCAGTATGCTTGTCAGCTTCATGCCCAGTAGAGCCTCATTTGTCCAAGGCCAACACCAATGAAATCAGCACGCAAATCGACAAAAAGCAAAGTGACTAACAATAGTTTGGCCAAACGAACTTAAGTTGAACTTACGACTTTTTCATGCACAGCTGACAACATGCAAGGTACAGCTGACAATATGCAAGACACAGCAGACACCAATGGCGAATGTGTCAAGATAGGTGCCCGAAACCTGCCTTCCAAATCTTTCCAAAAGTGTTGCTGGGTCACCCCCTATTTTTAAACGATCCCATTTGACAACACAGCCTGCTTAAAATCTGACAGGCCGACATTCAATGGAGTGTCAGTCCATCAGTCTAGCACACATACACCTGATATACATACAACTGGTAAAGAATTGATCATAGGTTGACATTGCAATTGAATAGTGAATCGTCGTTCAAAAACCATTGCAGGAATGAGCCTGAGTATCCAACCATGCAAGGCAGAACCTGGAGGTAGCCTGGCATGTAATCTCAACTCAACCTGTGGGACACATCAACCTGTGGGACATAACTGTGGCTGACAAATTCTATATTGCTTATATAATCTAAACTATTCTGTAGTCTACCCTGCTTGGGCTGAACTTCGGCTAAGCCTTGAATCAATATTGAAGTAAAGAACTGATGATTATGAAACTGAAGTGGCCCACCTCAATGTCAATTGTCTTCTTCCCATCGATTGTGGCCTTGGGTTGGGAGCAGTCATTCCCCCCCCACACACACACACATGCTCACTGGGTAATCTCAATTGATACGTCCCCACGAACAAGTTTTGGGGACCTATTGTTCCTACTGGGGTGCATGAAATTGTTTTTCACACCATGAGAAAGACAATTTAAAACTTATACACCGAGTTGATGTCAACAAAAGCACAGGCGTACATCATCCAGGAGAAAACTGTCAATGTCAATTGAAGGCTTGGGAATGAATCTGTATGATTCTCATTAGCACACAGTGGCCATTGAAAAGACAATGTGTACCCCACTGTTCTCATCTGAGCCCCTGGCTGAAAGATTTACCCACGCACTCGCAGGCTTCAAGCGCACCGACTGATGACTACAGCATGCAATACATCTGACAAGAGCTCACAAAAAAACAATTATTATTTACTGAAAACCGGCCTTAAAACAGTAGCAGACTTAGTTCCAAAAAAATGCAAAATGTAATACATGCTTGATGGCAGGTACAGCGCTGAAACTCAGTTTGAAACATCTAACTAATTTTCTTACAAACAAACAAACATACAGACAAACGGACAAGCAAGCAAGCAAGCAAACAAGCAAGCAAGCAAGCGAGCAAGCAAGCAAACAAACAAACAAACAGACAGACAAACAAACAAACAAACCAGCACAATTTGGGACTCAGGCTGCGATCTCTGATGCTACAGCTGGCTGGTGGGTCCCGGAGGATTGGGGGTATTACAATAAGTGGATAAACATCAAGTACCACCCAACACACCCCCTCATATTATTGTTGCTGCCATGCACTTGGCTTGTTTTTTTCATACATGTTTTACTTCAGGTGGCTGAACTGTGGTCTAAATTTTGAACCACCTCAATCCCAAAACATGTCCCACCACACCTGCACCCCAAATTGACTTTCAACAAAGCAGTTGGGTCAAACAACTGACCGTCCATCAATTAAATGGGCCTTTGGCCGAAACACAATTTACCAAAACATATGTTTCAATTATTCACTGCCAACTGCAACAAATTTTGGGCAAACACTACAACATTTTTCACACATCAACCTGATTGATAAACACAGTGTTTGTCAGAAACATTCTTTGGTTCAAAACTGTTGCATGCTCCAACCCTCTCAGATACCCTCGCCCATTACATAGTTCGTCTAAACTGAACTCAGTTACTGATGCTACCTCTTCAATTCAAGAAATTTTTTGTATGGTCTGAAATTGACACAGCGATAGTGTGGGAAAGAAGTCTGGCACTCTTCCACTCCTGACTGAGAACACTTCATTGCAATTGACTTTTTACACTTTGTTCTAAAACACAAAATTACATTCTCAAGAGGATGACTTCGCCAAATACCCAATTCGTTTTTTAATTTGTTGAGGATCCATTGCTGTAGCAGAGCAATCTGCATCTGGCCAGTCTTAATCTTCACAAAAACTCTTCTCATTGGAACAAAATATCCAATTCCAAGGGTGCTTCACACAACAGACCTGACACAATGCAACATATATTCCATGAGTTTCTGTTGTTTTTTTTCTTTTGTTTTTTCCTTTTTTTTTTTGTTGTTTTTTTTGCCTTTTATTGTTTTTTTTGGTTTTTGTTGCTTTAAAAAACATCTCTGAAAACCAATACAAATCCACAACCCCCCCCAACACACCACACACATTACCCTCAGTGATCTTTTGCAGATGACTTTAGGGCGCGTCCCATTGTTAACGAAGAGGAAGGATGTGTTGCAAAAAAATCCAATGTGCTTCTGTACTGCTGCTGTTTCTTTGGACGTGAAACCCAGACCATCGTGAAACAACGATGACACTTTGTGACTTTCTGTATGAGGGCCTTATTTCTAGAAACAATAAAAGCACCTTATTTCTTCATTCCTGTGACTGAGGTTTCAAGCCTTATATAAGTTCCACGCAAATAAGTTGAAATAAGCATAGTTCAGGCTTAATTGTTCCAAGGAATTCGGAATAAGGCATTATTTCTCGATATCGAAAGGAACGTTGGCATTATTAATATATATATATAGAGGAAAAAAACACTTTATTCCCTGATCGGGATTATTTTCCGGAAAAAAAATATATATTCAGATCTGGCTATGGGCAAAAACGCGGTGCACTGGTGAGGGTTTAAAATTGCTGGGAAACGTGCTGCACCCATCCGCATCCCATGTCCATCTTTGTTGGAAATAAAGAAATAAGGTCATACTCCAAATAAAAACCAACGAACACATGATGACAATGATGAAATCCAAGTGCGGAAATGTTAACATTATCATCACACCAAATGTCAAAGTATCATTGTAAACACCTTGAAGCAAGAGAAATATCAACAGATTCTTCATCATGGATGCAATCTATTCAAGGCCGTGGAGCCGGCACAATAACACAAAGGGGGAGACGCGACGCGGTTAAGAAACATGTGCATCAAAGTCAGAATTTCTGATGATTTTAAAGGAAAATTTGTCTGTTTCTCTTCCCTGTGATGTTTCATGAATTTTGGGAAAGAAACCTGATATTTATTTCTCTTTTTTCCAGGTAATTATTTTGCATTTGTAATTCTGGTGGTTGTGGTGTTTTTTTTTGCATTTTTCATTTTTTCTTTTGGCCGGCCCGAACTTCGAATTATAAATTATATATGTTCCAATGATGTCATATCGATTCAGAATGTCGATTCATATCAAACAACCTGAATCGAATCCATTCACACCTTAAGTGACCAATCATGTCCAATTCAGAATGTGCCACATCACAGATTTCGGGCCTTTCGGATCCTTTCGGAGCACGCAGCATTCACGAGATCTTGTCGTGTAGCCTGAAACGCAGCCGTGAAACCATCTCTGAGCTGGGGAAGTTTTACCACGGCTTCGCCTCGCCTGGAATGGTGAATTTCATGGGGGAAAAGTGGGAGAACATCGATGAAAGAAAGGGTGAAAAGCTGGGGAAAAGGTGATGAAAAACATGGGAAACCTTAAACATCTGGAAAAAATCTGGAAAACGTGGGGCATTTTTTTGGGGGAAACAAATGTGTGTCCCATGATTTTCCCTCTTTTGTGCCAACACCGTAAGTTGCTGTAGGGCACCGCGAGAGCAAACCGGCATGGCACACTTCCAATACTGCAGATACCCAATTCATCTCAATTCCCAAAGATCATGATGCGGTGCACCTGGTAGGATTTGGCAGACACTACGTGACAACTCCCGGAGAAGTTGCAAGCCGATCCCGGTTGGTGTAGCACGGGCATGGATCACAAGGTCAGGAAACCAAGGGGAAACGAGAAGACGTAGGCAGATTTGTTTGACGAGACGAGTTCTAATGTGTTTTGCATGATTGTTGATGGGCATAAGAATCATCAGATGTGTTGCACCTTTGATTACAGTAAAAACGGCGAATCCGTTCTTTGTTGTTTCTGTTTTCTTTTGTTTTGTTTCAAAGACCTTTGTTGAATAAAACTAAAGCTGGATGGACGGAACGAAATATTTTTTTAAAGATACAACCCAGAATCCAGTTTGGGTTGTGTAATTTTGTGCAACGTCTGACACACCCCTGCATTCTTGTAACATGTTTGATTTAATTCCAGTGCCAGGATTTTTCCTACATGAATTTGCATGTATACCGCATATACCGCACATGACATGAGCCTTCAACTCAATGGTTAAACCTGGAACTGAAAAGGCGGTGGATTCGTTCGGATTGACACAAAACCTTGACACTCTTGGGGAGATCCTATATCATGTGCTCAACTTTTTGGGAGGGTGCGCGTCGCACACTTCGATCGAACAAAAAAATAGGACTGAAACTGGCACTCTTTGGTATTCAACTCAGATGAC